GCCATATTTGTTTATTAATGTTACTAAACCTGATTTGTTTTCCTCTTTGATTATTTTCCCCCCTTTACTGTCCTACCTCCCACTGTTGGTTTTCATTGTTGTTTTCCATTTCCTCTTCCTGTAGTGTTTTGCCAAGGATTTTTTGAAGAGATGGTTTTCTAGCTGCAAATTCTTTTAACTTTTGTTTGACCTTGCAGGCGGGGGGGAGGGGGCGGCTCTGCCCCTCAGCAGGCTGCTGGACCTGTTTTGCTGGTGGGTCGCAGGTCTGCCTACCCTGCTGATGCGTGGGGCAGCTCTGCCACTCCGCGGGTTGCTGGGCCTGACTTGCCGGTGGGTCGCAGATCCGCCTACCTTGCAGGTGCAGGGGGAGGGGGTGATGTATTTAAATACAAGTGTTGAATGGAGATTACTGACAGGAAACAGAGGGTTCTGGCAATGCAATAGAGGTCCTTTTGTGTTCAATTTCAAATCTTTATCATTGTAGTCCCTTGAAGCCCAAATTCTACAAAGTATGTGGTTTTGGTAGTTCACTGATGAATTTACAAATTATTAATTACAGTTGTCATCTGTAGACCACTATCTTTAACTTGCTTTTTATTGGCTCTTCTTAAGTAGAATATGGGTACCATATTAGCACGATTATAATTCTAAGTATTTATAATCCTGTTGCACCAGCACATCACTGTCAAGAGTAGTTTTATTCTTTGTAGCTTATTTTGGCATCATGTTTGTTCAGGTATAATTATCCTGTGTTCTTTCTTCTTCCTTTAGTTCTTTTTTCTGCCCACAGTACGTTCTCAAGGAATTAACAAGTGTCTAACCTAAAAGTCTTTATAGGCTTTCAGGTATTATACCTGTTCCTTGCAATACCGTGTCCAAAGAAAAGGGAGTTGGCCACCTTGAGGAAGGGAGGTGTGGGAGTACTCTTGAGTATTCTGTAGGGTCGTCTTAGTACTCACATTTAGAACATGGAAAATAACTTTCCTTGTTCAAACATCTCATCGTGATTTTGAGAAAAAATTTTTAGCACTATTCCCTCCCCCTCCCATTGTAATCTCACCCAAATAAAGGGAATTTAGGGAAATGAAATGAAGATGGAGATGGGTCTTTTGGCTCTGTTCAGGTCATTTTCCTTGTTTGAATCATGGCTAGTTCCAGAATTTTTAAAAATTGTTTTTCTTATTGTATCTTGTTAGCTTTCCCTGTATTTTCACCTTTCTTATACTCAGTGTTGATGGCATTGATGTAATACTACTACAGAGAGTAAGTTATTGATGGAAATTCACGACCTGGATTTATTTTTTCTTACACTTCTTGTGAACTTATTATGAACTCTTGAGTTGGACATTGCTTCTGTGACTTAATTCATAATCTTTTCAAGAAGTCATCAAAACTGTTACTCAGGTGATAATGCCCTATCCATGTCATAAGACAGGGCAACTCATCAGACACCCTACTAGAAGTAAAACCTCTGGAGTTTTCTGCCTTAAAATAATTCTTTTATAATTTTGATTAAGCAAAGAATTCCTAAACATATCTTAAAATTGGGAAGGGGGCATGGGAAGGTTATACAACTGTGAATGTTTTGTAACCCAGTACTCAGCCCAGTGGCTTGAAGCTTTCCAGATCACAGTGTTTCTTTGGGGCTGGTGACAAGAGGAGGTAGTCCATTCATGTTTGCATCCATAGCATTGTACCTTGAAGGCCTTATTAGTCTATCTGGAGACAAAAAATATTTTTAATATTTTTAAAAATAAAAGTGGTAGTTACCATCTAGCAGGTATGTTATCATTTTATATTTTAAAAATGTGCCTTAATTTGAGGTCTTCATTTGCAGTGTACCTTAAGAGCTGTGTCCAACAGCAACAAGGTGTTGCCAAGCTGCTTCCATTGAAGCAGCTCTGCAGGAGATGCTGGCCTGCATGAGGTGGGCGTGGAACGAGCCATCGATGTCCATGTGATGTCCACTGTTTCAAGGGTCGTAAGGAGCAAGATAGAGAGGGCATTGGAATTGTGCTTCCCACACTGGGTTCGGTTTGCATAAAGGCACCAGAGCACAGATTGCCTGTTTGACCTGAAGGCATTTATCTTTGGGTTTTGTTTTATTTTCATTTTTTTTGGCAGAAAAATTCTATACTAGTATATGGAAATATGACTATAGAAATTTGCATTTTGTAGACTGCCCCCCCCCCCCTTCAAGTGAAACAAGGTTTTGGTCTTCTTATATTTTAGATCGACTACTGTTTGGAAATGGTTTAGGAGGGTACTCTTAAACCAATATCAACTTTCAAAGACTCTCGGCTAAAGAGAACTACTTAGCTGTTAATTGCTGTTTTCACTTCTTATTGGTAGAAGTGAACAGTCATCATAACTGGCTTCTTCAAGTTTTAGTAGTCAGATCTTTGGTGAGCTGCTGGGGGGAGTGTGTATACCATACTCGTTTTGGGCCTCCGTTGAACTGGGCTTGGAAATGGGAGATAATGACAGAAAATAGGGAACTCACCATGTATATTAACCTAATGTTCATTGCATTTCTTGGTTCTTTTGAAAACACGCTTGATTAACGAGCTAAAGAATAGGATTTTGTTGTATTTTCTTCAGTTCTGGCCTTATCAGTTTATAAAAGTACATAATGTGTTAATTATGTATTTCTATCAAAAAAGGACACACTTTGTGACCTCTGTAGATTTTTTATTATCTGTGAATGTTAGTTTGGTAGCTTTTGGCTTCTGTTGTAGGTAAAGCAGAGATGGAGCACTCTTTTATTTTTATTTTTTTATTTTATTTTGTTTTAAATTTTTTTAGTTGTAGATGGACACACACCTTTATTTATTTATTTTTATGTGGTGCTGAGGTTCGAACCCAGGCAAGCACTGTACCACTGAGCCACAGCTTCAGCCCTCTTATATTTTTAAAAGAGATAATACTGCTTACACTATTCTTACCCTGAATACATGACTGTTTGTCTTAATTGAGCTCTCCCTCAGACTTGTACATCTAATTTATTTTCTTAGTTTATATACTTTGACACTCACCTTGATGACTGTTCATATCTTCTCTCCTTGAATCTCCAATGCCTCCTAACCCATTCTCTTACCTCATTATGTTCTGTTACACTAAGAATGAAGAAGTATATTAAAAAACATTAAAATTGGTAAATTAATGAAATATCCAGTAGGAATACTTTTAATTAAATAGGGGAAGTATAAAGAAGTTATAAGAAACCCATAATATCATCATGTTGATAACCCTCACTGACACTGAAAAAAGAAAAAGAAACGTGAGCTTAGAAAATCCCAAGAGTACAGAAAAGGAAAAGTGGCAGCACACCTCCCATCTCAGGCTCTGAAAGAAACTGATGCCTGTCCTTTCTGTGATCTCCTTCTGGAAAATTAATGTTCATGTCCCCAGCATCTGTATATTATCTACATATTCTTTCAAAGTAATTGCATGAGAAGGATCATGGCATTGACAATGCTATGTGCCTGTCATCTGCAGTAAGACTTAGACCATTAAGTAGGTTTATTGTAGCCAAAGGTACCTCCAAATATTTTCTTTAGCATCAAATTCATATTTATTTACAAAAGTAATGTCCCATTTTGGAATTTCTTGAAACTATTTTAGCCAGATGATTATTATGAAAAGCTTATAATTATCGCCCTTTTAAAATTTATATTTTAGTCTGTTTTTTCTTTGTTTATTCATAGATAGAAAAAGAGAATTCAGAATATCTGGAATTTTCAGTTTTCATTTCCTAGATTGTGATTTTCTTTATAACCTGGAAAGTAAATACGTCTTTAAGATTTTTTTTCTTGATTAAGAGTAATTTATGCTTATTCATTTAAAATATAAAGTGCAGCCTTGTTAGAGAAAATGTGGAAAATTATAGTGAAATATGAAAAAAATAAAATCACAACTCCACACCCAGAAATAACCACTGTTAATATGTTGTTTCCTTAATATTTTATTCATATGTATGCATTTGTTTATAGAAGAAATTATACCTATGACATATGTGATTGAGACTGTGTATATACACACAGTTTGTGTGTGTGTGTGTGTGTGTGTGTGTGTGTGTGTATGTATGTATGTATGGGTTTCTATTCTACTATTTGAATTTAACATAAGTATTTCAATACTTATCCATATTTTTAAAAAATATATTCTTTTTCTGAGCATTTTAATGGCTACATACTTTTCCATTTGTATGAAAGAGATGCAGTTTGATTAAATGCCCAAACTAACAATACATTATTTAGGGATATGTGAATATGCAGCAAAATGTTTAAAAACATGAATGATATCAGTTGGGAGAGTGGGGGAGAACCAGGCAGGTGGGCTGGAAGAGCTCTTGCAAGGAGTGGGGTGTCATTCTTACTAATATCCCAGGTACTGAGAGTAAGTGTGGCATGTTGCTGGAAATTATTATGGATCAGTTGGATCATTCTTACCTTTTCAGTTGCTAATGAATGTATTCCAGCATTAAATCTCATTGATGATGATTTGTATATTTAAAAATAATTATGGGCTGGGGTTGAAGCTCAGTGGTAGAGCATTTGCCCAGTACATCTGAGGCACTAGGTTAAATCCTCAGCACCACATAAAATAAATAAAGGTATTGTGTCCATCTTCAACTAAAAAATTTCTTTAAAAAAATATAGTTTATAACTTTTAGTATTAAAGTCATGTTTTAAAACTATGATTATAGTGTTCATAATATGTAGAGTGCATTTAATGTTTTTTAAGAGTTGTTTCATTAAAAATGGTAGATACAGTTTTGGGAGGAATATTAACTACCTAAATTTTTTTTCAAAGTTATTTTTAAATCTACATTTATTAAAAATTTTTATTTTCTATTTTTCAGAGTCATATTAAATCAATCGACTCGGGAGAAACTAACATAGATGGAGCCATAGGTGAGTAGACCATGCAACAGACAATGTTTGAGGCATTTCGATATTGAGATTTAGAAAGTAAACACCTTTACTAATAATGATTAAATGTGTTCCTAGGGCTGACAGCATCAGAAGAATTTATCAAGGTCACGTTGTCGGCTTTTGAAGCAATAATTCAATATCCTGTTTTGTTGAAAGATTATCGTTCTACGGTCAGTTTTTTCGACTTTTGAAAAAAGCTCTTTTTCATTTCCTTGGTAATTCTGTATAAAGGGACCTGCTTTCCATATTCTTAGCTCAGATGGGTTCCTCGTATGAAGTAACCATCTCGAAAAGCAGGATGGGTCTAGGAAATCTGTTCCTTTTGTTGTTGACTTTCATGCTCTTCTGGTTACATCTTTATTCCAGCCTCTTCTTCCTCCTTGCCTGATTATTTGTTGTAACCAAATATAAACCTTTGCAAGAGGGTTTCTCAACCTGGGCACTTGGGCATTTTGGGATGGACAGTTTGTTGTGGAACCACCCTGTGCATTGTAGGATGTTTAGCAGCCTCTGCTCACTCGGGGCAGTAGCTTTCACTCCATGGATCCTCCCATGTGACCACCACAAATGTCTCTAAATCCTGACCTACGTCATCTCAGTGGCAAAATTGCCCCCATTTGAGAACCCCTTTATCCTTAGGGAAATCCTCAGGAGAGCTGGATGCTGCTGACATGAGCAGAGGGAAGGAAGGCTTCCTCTGCCATTTATCAGAAAGCACCCTGGGAAGACTAGCCAGCTAGTGTCCGTGCAAGCAGCAATAGCAGTTGTTTCAGAGAGTGGCTGTTCTTGGAAGCTGCCTTGGAACAGAGACAGGGTCTCATCCTCCCCTTCCTGTCCCCCACTCCTGCTCCTCCCACTGCAGCACTGGTGATTTGTACAGGGACCCAAACCCTAGTGACTGCTTTTGGATAATAGAGTATACCCTGGTTTTGCTGGGCAAAACCCAGCAAAGGTTTTGATTTGAAAATATTTCTCAAATTGAAAAAACCCAATAGGCAAAATTTTAGAGAACAGTCACTTAAGTTAGGGACTGCCTGTAATGAGGATGAATGAAAGTACTGAACTTAGAAATTAAAATTGTACTGAAGAAATTATAAAGAAACATTATTTTTTGACCCCTTCATAGTCATATAGATGGCATTGTAGGACTTGATTCTGGAATTTATTTCCTCACATTATCCTTTCATATCCCCCCCCAATCCCAGCCCTCCCTTTTTTCATTGAATGCTTCATTTAAACAGTGCCTTCCTTGGCTTGTGACATCTTAGAATTAGTTCATTTCTGATTTGGGCTTATAGTGTATGCATATTGAAAATCAAGATTTTTAAAATGTAGCTTAGAATGCTAGAAAAGGAGTCTGTATTTTGCTTTCTTAATTAGGAATTATTTTTAAAATCAGTGGCAGAATGTCATTTTGGAATTTTAGTTGCTGATTTTCATACAGTTATTATCAAATGGTATTCAGAAGAATGTTTTAACTCCTCAAATATTGTAATGTGAATATGGTAATACCACTAACTTTCCAGGCTTCAAAAGTGAACTGTGTGTGTGTGTGTGTGTGTGTGTGTGTGTGTGTATGTGTATGTGTATGTGTGTTTGGTACTGGGGATTGAACTCAGGGGCACTCGATGACCGAGCCACATTCCCAGCCCTATTTTGTATTTTATTTAGAGACAGGATCTCACTGAGTTGCTTAGGGCCTCGCTTTTGCTGAAGCTGGCTTTGTACTAGTGATCCTCCTGCCTCAGCCTCCTGAGCCACTGGGATTATAGGGCTGCGCCACTGCACCGGGCAAAGTGAACAGTGTGTGTGTTTCTTATGTTCAGTAAGTTTATCACAACTCCTGCATGAAAGTTTGTTCTTTCTTTTATAGTTTTTAATTCAACATTTTTTCTTAAAATTGTATCCTTTTGCATATTGAAGAATTTTCCTTAACATTTTAACAAGATAGTATGTACTTTAGTGGTGGTTACAGTGAGGTCAAGGGTGGTGATGGTTTGAAGTGTCAAGTGTTTCTGTATCTGATTTTAAGGCTTGTTAGATGTGTTTGAACTCACTGTGTTAGAGAAAGTTGTTAAAAGATCATCAGTAAATGCCAGCACCGTAATTTTTTTTTTTTTTTGGTACTGGGGATTGAACCCAAGGGTGCTTAACCACTGAGTTGCATCCCAGCCCTTTTTATTTTTTATTTTGACACAGAGCCTCACTAAATTTCTGAGGCTGACTTTGAACTCCTGTTCCTTCTGCCTCAGCCTCCTGAGCACTGGGATTATAGGCATGCACCATGGCACTTGGCTGTAATCTTTACTCTCCATTTTTCTTCTTATTTTAGCTCTAGGAAGGAAGTGTGGAATCATGGCAAATATGAAACATATAAAGTTCAATGAATTTTTTTAACTCTCTTTTTGGGGGGTGTGATTTAAGTTAAAGCTGAGGATCAAGTTTTATTATATTCACATTTAATATCTAACTGCTCTGGGTAATCCTTCAGTATTAATTGATTGCCTTGCCTTACTAAGGACTACTTCAGGCACAGGGCAAGGATAGAAATGAAACAAAGTAGTAACCCCTATAGAACCTATAAGTAGAGAGAGAGGTGATAAATATTCAAATAAATTTTAATACACCAAGTGGTAGGATGTCCTATGAAGGAAACATGAAAGTGTAAGTGGGTGAGTTAAGTGATTTTTATAAGTAGTTATTTTTCTCTTCAATAATGGATGTTTGGATAGACAAGTGATAAATCTGGGGGAAGAAGTTTCTAGGCAGAGGCAGTAGCAAGTATAAAAACACTCAGTAGGAGCTGTGCCCAAGGACTAGTAACTTGGTTGATGATTCAGCTGGGCTAGAGCAGCCTTCTAGAAGATGAGAGCAGACCAGTGGGGCTGGGAGAAGTAATATGTTGCTTAAGGAACTTGGCCATGGTAACAGTTTTGGAGATTAATGATTATTGATCTTGGTTCTTGAACGGTCCCATTGCTATTTCACAAAGATTTCAGGTGTGGTTTTTAGAAGTAGGAGTAACAATTTCCTGTGGTTTCAGGTTAAATTTTTGATTGGTGTATAGTATAGTTCCATAGTATGTATATGTGTATACAAACATGTTAAAATATCCTTGCTACTCTGGATAGGCATTATGTTGCTTCTAGTTTTGGGAACTTATCCATGGTATTTCGTGAATATTGTTATGTATTTTGGTGTACTTACGCACATGTTATTTCTAGGATACATACTCAGTGGTTATGGGGGTACATATGAACTCAGTTCTCCCTATGGGTGGTCATTCACTTTCAGCAGCATAGTACCTGGTGCTTCTCATCCTGCCTAACTCTGGTTATTTCAGACTTTTTAATAGATCTGTATAGTATTATTTCACCATAGCTTTAATTTTTTTTTTCAGGACTTAATGAAGCCTTTTAACATATTTAGTGACCATTTGGATAAACGTTAGTGAAGTATTCATCCAAGTATTCTCTTGAGTTGGCCTTCTATCATGAAATCCTTTATACTTTCTGTCCCCTGATGATAATTATACTAATATCATACTAGACCTCTGAAGATTATTGCTTTTGTCAGGTTTTGTAAGGGGGGGAAAAAGGGACATGACAGGGCTGAGGTTGTGGCTCAGTGGTAGTGCGCTTGCCTAGCATGTGTGAGGCACTGGGTTTGATTCTCAGCACCACATATAAACAAATAAACTAAAGATCCACCAACAATTATAATTAAAAAAATATTAAAAAATAGACATGACAGCGGAAGGGAAGGGACTTGGGAGACTGGGATGAGGAATAAGAGAGGGCAGTGGAGTGAATACAATCGGAGGATGTTATGTGTGTGAAACTGTCACCATGAAACTCATTTTATTGTATGATTAATATGTGCTAATAATTATGATAAAAAATAGGGGTGTGTCCCCTCTTTTTATATCCTTTAAGAGTGGGAATTATTTCCTTCTCTAATATTGCTAGCATTTTCCTGTGAAGCTATTAAGACATTTGTTTTAAGGGAAGAAGAGGGTCATCTTTATAGAATAGTTTTCTCTTAATTCAATTTTTTTCTCTATTTAGTTTTTTAAAGTATTTTTAAATTGTCAATGGACCTTTTATTTTATTTATTCATTTATATGCGGCACTGAGGATTGAAACCAGGGCCTCTCACATGCCAGGCAAGTGCTCCACCACTGAGCCACAACTCTAGCCCCTCTTTAATTTTGTTTATCTGTTTTTTAATATGGTTTTAAAAATTAATTGGCATGAAGAGTTTCATATTTTCTTCCTGCCTTTAGTGGCAGTGTGATCTAGTATCACGTGTTTTTTTAATATATATATATTTTTTTCCCTGAACAAGCTAACTAGATTTTTGTTAGCTTTATTAACTTTATCCAAGAGCCACTTTTCAGTTTTGCCAGTCTCCTCTTATATTTCTATTTCATATTTCTGCTCTAATAATCCTTATTTCTTTATTCTTTAGGTCTTTTATTCATTATTTCTCTGATAAATATTTAGATTATTTGTTTTCAATTGCATTAAAGATAGTTTTTTTGGATGAATATAATAAAATTTTATTGATTAAAATATCAACTGTAGGCATTATTTATGGAGTGCTTGTTATTTCCAAGCAACTATATTAAATTAAGGCAGGGACTGCTTAAGGGTAAGGAAATCGATCACATGCAGTCAGTGATAGAGCCTGGCTCAAGAGTCCATTCTCTAGTTAAAGTTACAGCATGCTCAAATTCTCCCCTCCTCCACAACTCTCTTTTTTCTTCAGTTATGGTTCCAAACTCTTTGCTCCTCAACATACTAGACAGATTTTCATAACTAATTAGCACAAACCACTTCCTTCTCCCACTCACATTTTTTTTAAAAAAATGTTTTTAGTTGTCAAGGGACCTTTAACCTTTTTATTTATTTATTTATTTATTTATTTATTTATTTATTTAATGCAGTGCTGAGAATTGAACGCAGTGCCTCACACATGCTAGACAAGTTCTCCACCACTGACCTACAACCCCAGCACCCCACAGCCCCATTTCTTTTTTAGTTTGCAATTCTATAATAGCTATCTTCTTGTTAAATATTCTTTTTATTTATTTTTTCTTCTAATTTGTTATATATGACAGCAGAATGCAGTACAATTCATGTTACACATATAGAGCAAAAATTTTTAT